ATCACTAGCTCTACCCCACCTTGAATATGCCTCAACAATTTAGTCACCTTATACAACTAAACACTGCGTTCTTCTCGAAAGAATCCAACATAAATTCTTACGTTTTCTCTCTTTCAAAACGGACACACCCATGAAATGCAATGACCACAACTACAATAGAATAATGACCAAATTCAAAATCAACTCCCTCGAAGATAGACGTATTGCTGGTGACATTACATTTTTATACAAAATTATTAACAACTTAGTAGATTCTCCTGTCCTAAACCAAATAAATTTTCACGTACCCCCTCATGCAGCCAGGCATTCCAATCTATTCTACCCCACTTCCTACACATCCAGGCACAATCACACAGATACAGTAACCAAAATATGCAATATAGAATTCTTCTCAGCAACAATAAAGTCAAAACTTCCATCTACCGGATATTGCGAGAGTAACATGTATATATATATTTAAACTACTAGAAATAGTATTATAAGATGCTTTCTTCCTGTTAAACTTTTGTATAAAATGGGTCTTCCCGTTAATGGCAATAAATTAAATATTTGCAAACACAAATACCCTCACGTCAGCGAAGTATTAAGAGAGTTCGAAGACCTAGGTGGTTCGACGAGATCAATCCCGAATAAAGAATTCCCAGCCTTCTCTCCTCAGTATCGAATTCTTCACGCAGGGGGCGAATAATTCCATTTACTACGTAGGAAAGATAGGTTAGGCGTGGTCCCGACACAACAACGATCCACCGTTCTCTTCTAATGGTTTCCATCTCGGAGGGGGGGGGGGGGGGGGGGGGGAGTCCGTCTTCCAATCTTTCTTTTCGTACGGATCCAGGCCAACGGCGTCGAGCCGTGCCAGGGTTACAGGGGGGCCCGCCGAGAATACACATAATTTACACCTGAACGTCACAAACCATGCCGCAGTGGATACTGTCGGAATCCTCAATGGTTCCTAGTGATCCAGAAGTAGTACCAGTAGGATCATTAAGAAACAGTAGGTGTTTTCTATCTCATAATTCTTGCAATTTTACCGTTACCGTTGGACACCTC